AAAAGTGTATGTGAAAAAGTAGTACAGTAAAGTCTGGTTGATCTTGATTAGTGTCGCGGTGTTCAGATCCACATATCCAGGTGAGGCATAACAGAATATATGCAATGAATACAAACCTTAAAAGGAGTGCATTGCCTATGTTTAAAATTCAGTCTAGGAGTATTTAAATTTCGGATAGTTTCCGCGGCGGCCACTAGGTAGCGAAGGCGCTACTATCTCGAGCCCGTGGCCAAGTCATCTGACTGTCACTCAGTCTGGGAGAGTGAGAAAAAGAATCGGCTTTAAAAGAGAGAGAGAGAGAGAGAGAGAGAGATAGAGTAGCGTGGCCGCCGCACGTGCACATCCTAGCGGAGGCCGAGCGAAGCTCGTTTCGGCGGCAAAATTTGAATCTGTCTGTTCTCCACAAGCATTTCGCTTCTTATAAGGTTTGTATAAATTTATATATGTCTACTTCGCACTTTTATTTAGACTTACATGTGTATAGTAGGTATGAGTAATTATTGTATTGTATTGATAATAATTATTGACGATGAGGCAGGTTATATAAGGGAAATGGAAGGGCAGAAACTTAAGGTTTCAGTGGCCACAGAGGTAAAGTACGGTAAGTGAAGATATGCACTGGAAGGTGGTATGGTTGACTATACACTTCTCAATTGACTATATATTCTATGTACTTGTACTTATAATCGGTGTGTGAATCGGCCGCAAATCTCACTTCTACGCTTTCTACATCCACAAAATTGCTGTTTTATTGTAAAATAATCTGGTTTAACACGTTGACTGCGCGTGCCGACTTTAGTCGGCGTCGCCAGCGCTCCCAGGTGGCGTGCGCCGACTAAAGTCGGCACCAGACCAACAGAAATATATTGAGTCAGTGTGAGCTTAGCCTCAGACGGAGACGTTATAATCGTTGCCAGCCTGCCAGCTTAGAATGCGAGCTTTACTTTGGTTTAGGTTGGTACTAAAATTTCCCGTAAAATCCTGTCTGGCAATGCTTTTGTCCCGGTTTCGAGGATTTTTTCTCTTCAACCCACATTACAAAGACACTGGATACGGATCCATGCAGTGCTGCTACCTTTGGGTGTTTCAGTGAACTACATCCACTCTCGGGGTAACGCAGCACAGTCACCACTGCTCTTTTGTGATTCGTCAGACTGAAATATTTGAATGCCAATTGCGTTCGCTGATTCGGTTGCGCGCCGGGGCTTCGCCCGCCACTGGGGAGCGCCTGTAAAGTCGGCGCGCGCAGTCAACGTGTTAAAATGCATATTGCATAGGCCTATAAATTATCGAATGAAAAATATTTGGTCACGTGACATCTGACTACAAGATGATTTTTCACGTTAAAACTAACAGAAAATTAATAAAAAGTTGATAAACTAACTGTTTTGAATTATACACAGTTTTAACTGACCACTCGATTCCTGTACGTAGAACGGGCCAACAGCTCGTTAAGTTTTAAGTTATAAAATGTTTAACAGTTCAAGCCTTTTAATCAATCGAAAACACACTTTTTTTTAAACTTGTATTACTTTGATCATCATTTGTATTAATTTAGAACGGGAATAAATTAGAACATCTACTACTGTACTATTGAAGTCTCATTATAAAGATTACTTGGTAAAGAGATTTTCTATTCCAACTGTCTCTCGTGATTGTCTAGTTGAGCACGAAGGATTCTCATGTGAAGAGGTGACAATCGAGAGCTGCTGTAAGGGTGCATTGTATGCACAAAAAGAAATAAAAATAAACTTTCTTGATAATTATTTTATTACAAAACAAAAAGAACACCATGATCTTAAAAATTGTATCCTTATGATAAATTAATTAATAATATAATACTTTCGTTTAATAATAGTAATTATAGTAATACTTATCTCTAAATATAATCTGTCCAAAGTAATTTTAAATAATATTGTAAATATAACAACAAACAATATTGTTGAAGGTGGGTACACATAACTAATTATATTCGTAAATTCGATTTTGTACCTTGTTTGAGTCTCACCATGGACACTTTGGTGACTGACGTGGAACGTTTCCCCCACACCCTACTTACTTATTTACAATAAATCACATTAAAATAACAGCCTCAAAACTACATGTTTCCTATTTATTGAAAATATACGTTTTATTGGAAAACTATTGTGGTAATCTAATCTAATTCAATATCACATCTAACACATAGAACTGAGGGAATAGACGAGTTTTGAAAAAAGACACGAAATAGAAGTGGCTCGTTTGGCACTTGTATTGAAAAGTTCTGACGAATGAAAAACCAAAGGCTAATGAGAAAATTAAACTTACATTGGACAGACTATAAAGACATCTTACACATATACAGTATTCTAAAAAAATGACAAATGCACCATTTTTGTGAATGAACACAACAACTCGGTTTAAGTAAACTAACAACGTGGGGAATACATGGACGGGCTCCGGATCTTCTGTCCCCTGAAGACTTATTACGCAACAAATATGGTTGAGAGTGCACCCGATTCCCAAGCTCTAATCTTGCGTGATAGAGGAAATGTAAATTGAATAATAAATATGTTCTCAATTTCAGTTCATGTACAGCTAACTGAAAAACTTAAAATTATATAAAATCGACAATTTCATTTGTCATTAAGTAGCACCACTACCAGTCTTAAAAAAATACATTTTGTGACTAAACTCTTTACACCGAATAGTCCGTACTTTTAATTTGTAATTTATGTGACATTTTAGACAAATGTGAATATTTTCAATAGTCAAACCTTTAGCATCAAGTTGACTAATGTTCCGAAACGTTTAAATTGACTAATGTTCCGAAACGTGTAAAATCCTTAAAACTTTACCAAGCGTTTGAAATTAAATTTGTATAAGCCAACTTATAGAGCTCTAACATGCCTTACTGTGAAGGTGAGTCGAATGTTGTGAAACACGTATGAGCATGCTTGCAAAGTCAACCATAACTTTGTTCCCATAACAATGAGTGCAGGTTTCTCGCATTCTAGCAAGAAGTGTGACAGAAGACTAAGCATTTGGGAGCTACATCTTGCCTGTTGTCCGACTTTCTGTTTGATAACAGTTGAAAATCCGTAAAACCACTCGTAAGACCACTTAAGCGGCCGAATTAACATGTGCTTCAAAATATTTTTTTCAAAATGTATCAAAATCTCAATGTGGTTTGGGGATAACGACTTGATTCTTACAAACTTCATCACCAACTATAATATAAATACAAAAAAATTTACTTTAATTTTCTCATAACTGTTGAATATCGATGCAGAAAATATTTCAAACACGTACTATAACCTTTTAATATTAAAAACTTTAAAAAGTCCGATCACACGTGACTTGCGTTATATATATATATTATGTAAAACCGTACAAAATGGCTGTATTTACCTTTACTAGTAATAGATGATGAAGATTCAAACTACAAAAGGTATATTGGAAATTTCAAGGAGCTAGTAACATGCTAGAGACATCAATGTTAGGTATGACAGGTCAAACAGGTCATACAAACTCAATGTAACAATAAGTTTATTTATTTAACATTGGGATTTTCCATCCGTTCTGAAAGAGATGAGATTAGTAGAGATCCGTGCACACATGTAGAGAAGAGAGAGAGAGGAAGAACAATGAATTGTCTTCGATACCAAGCAAGAACTGTCTTAATTTACGGTTTTAGAAAACACCATATTATTTGATTTATTACTTTTGAATTACATAATAACAAACATAACGTGGCCATACAATGATTATTAAATAAATTAAAGGCAAGTTTATTTAATGGTGTAAAAGTTGCCCCTAACTACCTTTTGAAGTAATAATAAATTACGAATAGATGATCAATGTGATTAATCCAAGGGTGACTTTATAAACTGAACCATCCGTTCTTGCTTGGTGCCGAGTGAATTCATAAGGAATATAAATGGAAGTATCGTGAAGAGAAGTAGAGAGAAAGAAAAGAAGAGTAGCAGAAGAAAGTTTATATATTTTGGTTTCTACTAGAATACTCTGTTATAAAGAAAGCTGATAATTTGTGTTACAGATTAGAGATTACATAGCAGACAGAAACTAGACTAAAGGATCAGGCCTCCACCTTCGAACCCAAACCACAACAGACTCAAAGCTCTGTTGGTGGTAGAGTTGTTCAACATATTGGTCCTCGGTTCAGAAGTTGGATGCCTCTAGTCTACACATATCTAGCAGCTACATAGTAGAGTAGGTAACGCACATTCACACAAACACTCTTAATATATTTTCATGTATTATCATTTATAAAAGAATATTGGAAATATATACCTATTATCGTACGATTTATTACAAGCTAGATTGTTTGATATATAGATAAAAGACAAAGTATATCTCTGAAGATGCTTTTAAAATATAGGTAAAACGTGCTAAATGACTTTCTTTTCGATAAAAAGAACGTTAGCCTAGGTTTAGAGTAAAGTTGATCCCATAGAAGACACGAGGCACAGTGATAAAGGGGAGAAATCGTTCAAGAGCTACCAACTAAATATCTAGTAAAGCAATAGATCAGAGATAAGTACAAAATACAACGCAAACACAGTCTGTTTGTGGACTGCAGAGTCATTATTGGCACATGATAACAGTCAAAGACAGTTCTGACCTGTTAAGTACAAAGTTACTACAAAGGTTCACACAGTAACACATAGTGAGGAACTGCAAAGAAATGTACAACCTTGACAGTAAGCAGTTCAGGAACATTTTCATAAATTACTGTGTATCTACTCCGTAGTACTGTAGTACTTAAATAACAAATAATTTTAAATATATATTCTTGTATACAAACATTTCCCTTAACAGTACCAAAATACAGTATTTGTAACATAAATTGTGCATACTGATTGAATGTAACTGCCCATCTCATAAAAGCGTTATTGACTTGCGACAGTAAAATATGAGAAAATTGTGCCGCTTAATGTTGATAGTAAAATAAAAATATACAAGAATAAGAATATGGAAATTAAAAGAAAACACGAAAAGCGGAATAATGAATTTTATAAAGCAAAACATCTTAACAACACACAACACACAATTTTATGATAGAGAAATGAAATAATAGAGAGAATCCTTAATATATATACAATCAAATAAAACAAATTGAAGAGGAAAGAGGGATCAGAAGAGTAAGAGAGAAAGAGTAATAAGAGAAAAGGAAAAAAGAGAACAGCAGATGCAGAGAGAATAGGTCTAGAAAAAAACTGAAATAGCTACAATACATAACAAAATGCTTTAGATGCTGAAACATAAGTGTATAACATGTTAACTTCAAAATACCCTGCGTGTGCGATAAGCGATGAATTGCAAAACTCGTTTTGTGAAGTTTTGCGCAAAAACAGTTCTATATCTTGCTCTACAACTGAGTAGAGCATTAAATTGACGTGGGTAGGTTTGTTATATCACTATTAAAAGAACAAAGAATTTTATTTTACAGTAGAGTTCATAATCGAACCGAATTTTAGAAAAAAGCTTTGTTCGGTAATTATTTGCTAGTTTCATGGGAAATAAATACTTTACATGATATGTTATAAGCCTATTCAAGAAACAACAACGATAAACTTGTAATAAAATAATGAATGCCAGAACGAACGAACAATCCTGTCCTACGGGTACTCTGGTGGTCGAATCTGTCTCGCTCCCTGAGTACCTTTTTGGTCCGAATTCAACACTACTAAATCAACTTAGATTATGATAATCCTCGCGGGAACGGGTTCTAATCTAATCCCTACCCTGTTCTCTACAAGCTACTTCATATTAACAATTGTAGGTAAATAGATAATATAAACACACCTAAACTACTACAAGAACTACCCGACGTTCATTATGCAACGACCCCCCTAGAAGCTGGCAAACAAAAAACATTGACAGAGTCTTCGTGTCGAAAAATAGATATAGGCTATGTATATTATAGATAGATATAGTAGGGCAAAGTATGATTGTCAGCCATTGATTAAGATACATCCATGATACAAGCGTAAGGGCTTCTACAAGTATAGATACTGGGTACAAGGTGATAGTATTGAATCGCTTTAGAGCATGTTTATCACAAAATGAAACATCATTAATATTTTGAATGTTAATTAAACAGATCTTTTTAACAATATTTGCAGATTGAGATTAGTTAAAGCTACAGCAACATTGGTCGTATTGTAAAAGAATAGTTACGTTCCCCAATAAGGTACAAATATAAGACATATAAAAATATTTTAACTAAATGCTCTCAATAAATATTTTAATTATCATCTGGTTTTTGTTCATACCTTTGATTGATTGTACGTTACATATTTTTCTTTATTTTAACAATATTTATAACTTGTTCTGACTCCTCTTTCCTAAAACCTTATCTCCTAAACTAGAGAAACAATTATCTTTTATAACTTTTAAAATACTACCTAAATCATGAATACAGATTGCTCTAAATAATCAAGACTGTATCAAAGAAGCGATAAATAATCACTGTAAAAATTAAAATACTTTAAAAATATATTTTCAAGACAAACATAATATTCTTGTTTTTGCATTGTAACATGTTTGCATTACCGGGCTCTGTTTTACTACACAACAGTTGCGTAAAATTAAGATTACCAAAGTAGAGTCATACATTTTTATTTGGCCCCGAAGTTTGGGTCGTCATATCCCACCACAACTTATAGTACACAAGCCTTCCTTCAACAACTAGGAAAGAAAAATAAATAAATAATAATACAAAATCCTACCAATGTATTGAAACTTAGTGTAAACACAATAAAGTAATGATACGATTTAACAACTATTTGTTGCGTTTTGATCGGTTTGTGTAAAAACTGATAATAAGTACCGGTACACATTTACAAAAATAACTCACTTTTAACAATATTTGATCATAATAAAATCTACTGTAGCTGAAACCAGATCTCATCAACAAATAGCTGTTACAAACCACTTATAAGTAGGATAAAAATATTAATAATACTTTGAAATACTTATAGTTAAAGATTATTAAGACATGAATAAGATTATAAAAGTTATATCGTTCACCACGGCGACCATAAAACATGTAATCGACAAGTTTAGTGTTACATACACTAAGAAATAGAAATACTTGTTCAGCGTAAGAAGTGAAGAGTTTGTGTAAGTCGCGACAGAAGGCAAAGATAAATACCCCAAAATTACAAACAATACAGTAGTTGATTAATTCAAGATTAAAGAACACTTCTTTGTATTTAATCAAGGGCTCAAACACTTAAATCCATTGCAGAAACACTTATGGAAAATACAATAGAAAAATCTGAAGGGTAATCGCTAATAAGTATTAGTTGATAATTTGAGTAAAGATCGTAGGAGACTCCGAATCAGGAAATTAATCAGGCGTCAAAGCCAACTTTAATATGATCTACAATCTTTGTCTCTACCCTAATCTCTAATCTTTCTAATGATAAAATAATTCATACAAAATACGATATGTATAATCCAAGTTATTTAGACTCTGATCTCGTGGCTCGCTAAGCCGTAACAAAGCGGTTTTGCACATTGTCATTGCGTTCTCGTAGAAAACTCAATTTAATACAAACATTTACCCTAATAAACCTATAGAAACTAATCGACATCTGTGTTGTTGTCCGAGTAAGTAACAAAATAATTTTACACGATAAACGATATAACACAGAAAATGCCCTACAAAACATCTTAATAATTAACCTCACTTCTTTTTACAAACACTCCACTTCGAGTGCCACTCGACTGTCACCGAACAAACGAACATAGAAACCTGAAAACTGCGGCTTCAGTCCATCTAACATTTGGCTAACGGAATACTGGGAACGTACGAGTTCGATCAAAATAACAAAACTGGTGAAGAAACTCAGAATGTCGATAGGTATGTAACAAGTCCGTAACACGACACGGTTTCTTCAATTACGTCATCTAGATGTTGGATTTGGAGAAAGATACCCTCAAGTGATTCTGTTCACTGAGCTGGTAGTTGTGCATTTTCTGAAACAAGCAAAACAGATGATTATAGTACAAAAAATGCACAAGTGTTTGGTTTGTATCAGAACTTCTCAGTGTTTATGTGCATGATGGTTTCATGTGCCAATGAAAAGTGTGGTTAGCAGTTAAAACAACCTATTTCCTTCACTATACTCTTAATGTACTAATTAATTTAACTTGATTTATCCATTTTTACTTCACTTCTTGATTAATATTGTACATGTTGGCACTGTTATATGAATGTAATAATGCAATAAAATATATCTTCTAACACTATTTTTGCAGTTGTTTTATATTTTGTTTATCATTGCTACACAACCCAACAAAAAAAATACTGAAGACACATGAAATTTTTGGTAGTTATCATTGGCGTCAACAACTGGGGTCATAACCAAACATCTTAAAGGTTTGGTTTTTAATTGAACGGTTACCAATGCTGTACAAATAAAAATTTTACAATTGCATGATTAAGAAGGTAGTCGGTAACATAACTAAAATTAAAATAATTAACTTACAATTAGTGCAGCTACAGCATCCTCCATGTTGGCAAGTTGTATTAAAGCCATCCTTTTGTCTTTCCTATATAAACATTTTTTTTATTAAACATTGTAAAAACTGAATACAGCGTTTTTTCAGCAAAATATGTTAAAAAGCATTTTATACATTATTTTGCAAAACTCCAACAACAACAAAAACCTAGTAAACAACATTGTGGATCAGTGTTAGTTGTCTATCTTCAAATGGCATATTGCTATACACATTTTACAAATGATAATAGAATATTAGATTAATTACCATAACCCTAAAATACGGTATAATTATGCCCCCTGTATTAATGAAAAACAAATAACACCCTCATTACATTTATTTTAAATTGTTTTTAATAAAGTTAGTTAGTAATCTATCTAATCATATCTCCAAAAACCTGCCTAGATTGTCTCAATTTGTGAAAAAATATGCCTATATTGTCAAACATTTTTGCTTGGATAATATTTGTTTCATTAACTTACATAGTAGAATTGCATGGTTTGGTTACAAGTTACAATAACTAACTATTAAAAATAACAGTATTAAACTTACGGGAAGAACTTGAAAGCTTTGACAGTGAACCCATGTTTGGTGAATGCCTCCTTCATTTCCTCTTCAGTGACAGTTGACCTAAAACAGATAATTACTCTTATAACAACTAATCTATTTGACAAGAGGATCTCATAAGGATATTTAATAAGAATTGATTTCTTAATGCCAATAATGGATGGTGAAAAAAACCTAACTACATTATATCAGCTAAAATATATAACACCAATCAGAAATAATTATAATTACAGTTAGTTGCAGCAATGTTCTTTTTGGAGATAAACACATGAAATGTAGTAAATTGCCTTTAAATTAAGTGACCAAGACACCTCTCACTCGTTTAATGATAACTTTCTCTACTAATAAAATAAAATAGATATATGTGAGAGATACATAAAGAAATCTGCAATAAAACAAGCCTTTATAATGGTTTTAAATTACAACATTTGAAAATGTATCTGGCAAGGAGTAAACAATGTAACTGTCAAAATATACAAATGAGTGTTCTATTCTTGTATATTCTACCCAGAAATTAACCCAATGACAACTCCCATACGTACGGAATGTTGGAGAGATGCAGGGTTGCTGAAGGAGGGTAGATGTTCTGGTAGTTCTTAGAGCCAGGTTTTTTGAAGCGATGCAGGTTGGAGGAGGTGTAATCCTTGGTGAGTCCTGCATCGGGCTGTCCTTCCTTGGGCAGTTGTACTGTCTGATGTTTGGAGGGCATCACCCTCATCTGCTTGCCGTACAACTTGAGCTTATCGAGGTGAGTCATCGCTGTAACAGACAGTAACTACTTTAGAAGAGAGATCCAGATGTTGAAACAGCACATACAAAGTTCTTCAGAAGGAAGTAGTTCAGAATGTTATTACTATTTCCCCCTAAAACTAAACAAACCTCTTTAAAACGGTCTCAGTTGGGCTATACCACCTAAAAAACTTCTCTTACATCTTAATCTCTGCTCGTCTATCTTGAGGGCAAGAATTTTTGAATTGGGACATCCAGCATATATAGACTTGTACTCTTTGATGAACTATGGTATATCCTAGATGTCTAACATTGAGAAAACGCCCTAAAAATCTTGAGAAAACTACAAAATTAGTAGTCATCTCTTGAATACCATTTGTAATCATTTCCAGAAATCATGGTACAGCAACATCCATGACCATTTCCTGTACTGACGACAATATCCGTGATCATTTGCCAAAATCGACATCTTTTCACGTAACAGAATTATGTGAAAAAGAAGCAATGAAACACAACGGATGATTGTTTACTACAAGCTATTGGCAATTTTTTATTTTAATTCGCTCTCATGAACAAAAGTATTGTACAAAGCGTTTTACCAGTCATCAAAATTAACATAATTCCCCTTTTCCCAAGTTGGTCATCACTTTGGACACCTTTGCAAATATCATAGCACACTGTCGCAGATTAAGCCGTGACAGTGCAAGTTACCAACTCAATTATAACAGTACTAACCTAGCTGTGCCTGGTGGGGCTCTGCCATCTGTATAAGGGCGCTGTCCTTCTTGTTGTAAAGGATCTTTACCCTCTGCACATCCCCGTACACTCCTATAAGAATGTTATACACTCTGTAAGACTCTGCGTTTACAAAGGAGCAAATCACACAGGTAAACTGTATTCATATAATCTATTATATTATTATTAAAGTAATAAATTTAATACTATTTTGACATTGATTTCCAACATAAAAATATTTTATGCTGTCTCAACTTTTGATAGAAAAAAATCTCTTTATGAAACTATAATTTTTGGCGTTTGTTTTGAATGATGTAGCAGTTACAATAATTAAAGGTTTTTCTATAGATTTTGATATGTGTTACTGGTTCAAAAGCATTATCCATTGACTGTGGATAGAAACATACATTCCACGCCCATGTTCAAGTTGTGGCCATTTTGAAATCAAAATCAATATTGTTGAAATGAGCCTCTGATAACAAGTGCTGCTGTAAATGTTGTAATTTCTGTTGTAAATGACTTCTTAACCAAGCCAAACTGAAAGATCTACCTAATGTTAACAACAGCATATAATATATCACGTAATCCTCTGTATGTGGCTCATTCAACTCAAAACAAAACGGCAACAACTGGTTAGTATAAATGAGATCTCCCCAATGGTATCTTTAAAGCCAATGCTTCCACTTAATATTTGTTATATTCTCTTTTTTCTGTGAACAATCCAGCATCCGAGGAACGCTGAATGTTAGTCAAAGTACTACACTAAAGGTTCTAAACATAGAAAGTAGGAAAGCTAGTTTCAAATTGTAGCTTAAAGCTCTAACAAGAACATAAGCGAGCAGGCAACTGTAGAATGGACTAAAAATAAAATGAGAGTGGAATAGGCTAAAGAGAGATAAAGAAGTGAGTTGTGACGTACCGAACAGAGTAAATAGCGCATCGGGGGTGATGACCTGTCGATACAGCCGCAGACGAGAACAGAGAACAAAACACAGTGTTAAGGAATAAATCATAATAATAGAGTCAAGCATAGCAGGAGTGCCAGAGGACCAATGCGAGGTTATGATCCTCACATTGAAATGTTTGTTGAGTGTTTCAATGTTTAAAATGGTTCAATAACTGTTTGAAATGTTCCCAAAAATGAAAAACCATTACCATTCAGAACATTTTTTTTCTTTGGACAAAAATTTGTCTTTGAAAAAATATGAATACTAGCAAACCTTTTAATTTTTTATAGGATGGTTTGTTTGAATATTGCTTTAATTTACACACAAAAACTATTAGGTACTGAATTATTGTTGTGATATTTTAACCTTCACTTAAGTCTACAAACAATCAAATCAAACAGTGCTTAAAATATATTACTATACTGTACATAAGTTATATCATGACATGAACGTCAGCATATTACGATTAAATTTTAAAATGGATAAATCTTTTAAACTATCATTGAAGTAGGTAATAAACTAATAAAATATATTATTTGTAAAGACAATATTGCTTGTGTATTTTTTAAATATTTTATCAGTAAAGACGGTTTATATTTAAAATTATAAATAATTGGTTAATCTATTAAATGTAGCACCCATGTCATATTCCAAATCCTCTGGCTTTTCTTAGATAGAGTAAAACAGAGATAAAAGTTAAAGCAACAGTATACATAATGTTGAATGGAAAACCAAATCTAAAATAGCTACAAGGTAATTAGAACCAAATAAAAATTTGAAAACATTTAATGCAGATAAGTAAGATTATGTAGTTTGAAAACAATTAACAACTAAAAAGACAAGAGAGTACAGTACATTACTCATTACAACTAATTTATTTTGATGAGAGATTGCCAAGTATTTGCATTGAGAGAATGCACAGAATATCTAGAGCCAGGGCATGAGATAGCTACTCAAGAACGCTGGTTTGCTTGAAGAACAAGAATAAAATAAAGAGATGTACAGAACAATTATTTGTAATTATGGTAAATAGTAAATATTGAGGGTTAAGCTTTTTACAGAAAATTAAAATATACTTTATATTTTACACAATTTTTCCACTATTTGAGCTACCGTATTTGGTTACCCTGTACCTTTTTAATTAAGTGGGTGTGATATAACAAATAAATGTTTCCACGTAAATCACGGCATTCAAAGATAAACTAATCAACAATTTTAGAGGAACAATTTTTTAACTGAAAATATATATTGTAGCTACTGGTAAAATAATTGTTTATGTTCATAGTATATTCAATATTATTATATTCAATATTATATTCAATTTATTCAATGGTAAAACTAAACCGGGTTAGGGTTTGGTGTAAAGTTTAATAAAACAATATTGCTAAAGATTAAATAAACGTGTTAATTTCAACGGTTTTTGTCAGAGAGCTTTTGTTATCGCCAATTAACAGACAACTCTTTTTGTTTCCCAGGAGTATTCTAAAGATGTTAAAAGGGTAGACGTAACAGAATCCAGACAAAAGAGTTGAATAGAGGGCGAGGGTTTGTGGTGGCGTAATCCCTAGGGCGAGTTTTCGCAACGCTAAAGCTACCACTAACAACCAAAACGATCCACTGGCACATACATCTTAGCTGGAAACTTTGTATATTAATTACAGGGAGGAAAAGATCCCTTTGGGCCAAAACCTTTCTTTAGCACACCACTCAAACCTCGGCTCTACACAACTTTTACAACGTAATAACATGAAAAGGCCGGAGAAAACAAAGGCTCTCTTTGGTCCCTAAAGATTAATTTTTTAAGTGAGGTTATACAATGAATCAAGAAAACATCCCTGTAAGTTGCTTTGATAATCTTAAAACTGTGGCAATTAAGAATTAGTCTTGTTTTTGAAGATTCCCTCATCTTTCTATTAAAGCTTTCATGTTCGCTTTTCAATGGCTAAAATTTGAATCACAAAATAAATATATGACTATTTAGTTAACCAAGCATTTGAAACTAATATAAACTAAATTTTACATATTGCACTGTCACCTAATTCTATATGACAGTACTTGGTTACTGCCTCAAAACTACTGTAAAGAAAATAATTAAACTAAAATTCTGTATCTCAATTTTATATTTATGTTCTAGTGAGCGACTTGTTTTTTGTTAAGATTAAAATGTTTAACTGCGTAACAGGGTTAACCATTTTTTAAACTGAGGGACAAAAATAATTTTCATTCCTTTAAATTTGTAAATCATATAATATATAAATCCGTTGGCAGACAAAAAGTTTTAAATATAAAAAAAGGTTTATTACAAAAATTCTATTAGGTACTAGGAAAACAATAAAACGTTAGTAAGAAAAGTTAATGTTTTCAAAATTCACAGCTCAAAATATATCAAAGTCCTTCAATGGACCATATAAACCCCTAACTTATCACCAGGTATCCTCTCATTTGGAAGAAAAAGTTAAAATTACAAGAACCATTCACCTTGAAAGCTTTACACTCAATACAAGTATGTAGATTCTGCTATGGAGTTACTACACAACTACACTATGTTTTATACTATGTCAGGGAACAGTTCTCACCTCCTCATTCAGGTTGCCGATGAGTAGTACACAGGTGGTAGCCATGGCCCCCGCTAGTCTCATGCCCCCCGCAGCAGCCAATGCAGCATTGCCCCCCGCAAGTGGGGTGAACCCCGCCAAGGGTATGCCTCCTGCAAAACAGGTACATGTTCAGCCTACATTGTTTTGTGTAGGACTAACATCATTTGTACCACTGTAATGTGATGTTTTTTAAAGCTTTCATTTCTAAAATGTTTTTTAGGTAATTAAAAATAATAATTTGTGAATGTAAAACTGATTGCAGGTCCTATACCTGATAGAAGTTTCCAGCTTCATGATGGGTGGATTTTGGATCGACTGAATGATCTAATACATGTTTGAATTTGAGTGTTTTCTGTGAACGAATTGTTGTAGTTAACTGTACTACAATGGACAATTTTGATAGATGACAGATAACTTAAACCTTTATTGTGTGATCTTTTTGTCATTTAGGTAAGTCTGATCTCAACAAAAATCCTTAAAACAAAGACTAAGCTACATCCTTAACCTCTATTTTTAGTTAATTTGAAGAATATACTTGAAATAGCTACCTATCCGATCAAATCTCAAAATACAAAGCATTTCAGATATTATTTTTACTTTTATTTTGACAAGCCAACATGTTTTAGGGTGATAGTGTAAGAATACACAGTCCGCTGAGTAGTTGTGCTGAGTTTACTGACCTGTGAACCGTGAAAAGTTTTTAACAACAACAATAGGAAAAACTGTATTCAATATTTTCAAGAACTAAACAAATTTATTTGGTAGATAGCAGAAAATAATATTAACTTTTAAGCCATACAAGTTAAATATGAGATCAAATTTTTGCCCTGCCAATATTAACTAGGCGTAGCTCATTCTGTAAATTGCATATAACATAAATATATTTTTAGTTTGGATCTATGGCTAGCTTTTAATACACATATAACTTAAGCCGTGTTTACCATGTAAGACACACAACTGCCCAATCAGTTTCATAATAGATTTTTATAAGAGTATAATCAACAAAATACCCATTCTTAATTTAATCTTCTAGGCCAACATCACTACAGTGGATCATAAATAAGAAGACCTTTGGCCTAAATAACAAGCGGCCCTTGATAACAAGACTCATTTTCAATTACCCTTGATTACATGCTATTGCAAACCTTGATAAGAAGTTAACCTTGTTAATAAGTCTTATTATTCTTAAAGAATAAAAATTCAATATGTTATAACATTGAAAGCATTACATTAAGCATACTGCATGCAATAGAGAACATACAGGTCATGCACAAGTATGGTTACACAGACAACTAGAATGCTTAAACATTTGATACAAATAATGAAACTGCTTTGTATCTTAAGTGTAAAGCAAGACAACTATCTTCAGTTTCTTTACCAGTTTACAAACGTAAAAGTTTTTTTTTAGACCGGCTATTTTTGATTTTCTTCAAAGCATTAGTGTTGACTAACATCAGTAGGAAATGGTTGATCAAGTTTAAACCCTTGTCTTCTTCCTATTCAACATTGAGCTGTTGTGTGAAAGATATTTATTTATAGACACATCACAAATTGCAACTGGGTGCACAATTAAAAATATAACACAGTTATCACTTTCTAGTTATTTGGCATAAAGAATAACGACTTAATCAAAACTTTGATCTGATGAAACCAAAATGATTTCTGCAAGTTGACGACACAAAAGCTGCATGCAAGACATGGTGAGGGTGAACTGAAGTGCAATGACTGTGGACAGTGAAACAGACAAGGCATTTCATTGTTCATTGCACTGAAATGTATGTGAACCATGTCTCGTCGGGTTTAGAGTTAGACATAGATTAAGTATTCCATTTAAACTGTTTAAGGGGTTCGGAGGTTTCTTAAATTTGTATTTACCAGCCTGAAGAAACTTAAAAGGCTTGTGCCGACATAATTACCGAGAGATGAGCTTGGATCAGTACAAGAATTAACTGTAGAGACAAACTTTAAGTGACAGCACCGGTGCGCAAGACCATAACATCACTGAGTCGGTTTTACAATTTATTGCAATAGCATAACCAACACACCATTCATGTTAGATCAAACATAGCCTGAACAAGTTATCAAAGAAACATGGTTCACATCAGCTTGTCATATCTGCTCCAAAGTCATGTGTACTGTGTAGTGCAAGGATAAGTGGCGGAGTTGTACCTCCGACGGGCGAACCAGCGTAAGGGGCAGCTAACGGGGATCCTAGCCCGTGGAGAGGGGTGAATGGGGACGCAAGAACACCCTGAGCCCCTGAAACAACAAATAGTCTAGTCCACCAAATCGCAAGTCGCATATTGTATTTACCCGGGAAAGAAATATTCGAGAAAATTCATCTACAAATTAGAGTAGGTGGGAAAACAGGGGTGGTAAATGATCTGGCACTAGAAGAACTACTATTGGGGGTTCCACTACAAAAGTATATAATATTTAATGCGTTTCTTACTGGAAAAAGGACGGATGACTGCCTAAGCAACGCATAAGGTTACACGATGACAATTTTATTAATTTGTTGATTCACAGAATAATTTTATATTCTAACTAATTTATGTTATTTTGATCAATGAGGGTAAGACCACAGATTAAACAAAATAATCTTTCAGAATATTTATGTTACGAGATATATTTTGGGATGGAAAATAAGTTATAAGTCGATTATTTACAGGGAGATTTGTTGAAAAGGAAGAAAAAGACTACTACATACGATACAGAAGAGAAGAGAGAAGAAGAAACAAGTGAACTAAACAGTAGTTATTAACATAATAATCAATCTATAGTATTTATCAAGACCCTAATTTTTAGAAGGTTTAGAATTAAAATATTATTTAAAGATTTATATGAAAGAAAGTAAAGCAATGGATTATTTATAAGTAGGATGACACCTTCCCAAAGCCGCCTCATGCATTTTCTAATTTGTAAGTAACTTATATACAATTCAGTCGTAGACTGATAACGTACTTTCCAGGTTGAGGTTTGGAGCGATGACGCCATTGTTCATTGCAGCTATCCACGACTGAATTTCTTCACCAACAAAAAACATTAATTTTCACACATGTTAACCCTTACTTAGATGTAAACTGTATTAGAACACAGATAAAGATATTTCAAGAAGATTTGTAAAGTGTTTAAATTAAAGGGGAAACACACAAAACTTTAAAAAAGATGAAGGCAGAAGTAAAGTCAACAGTCTAAATATGTACCATTAATCTTTGGCTACAATTAAATCAGGGTGATATTTTAAATTTTCAAAGAAAACCAATCACTTAACTTTACTTGTGCCTCTCATGTAGTAAAAAAAATAATAGAAAAACAAACAATACTTTTTGTAAGTAACTTAAAATGGGAAATTTAAAACTAAAACACAAAAAAGTAATACAAATATGGGAATTTTTATTAATTTTTTAAGCATATTTTAAATATAAAATGACTGGGCTACGATATGAATTAATTGGTAGCTAAACTATAAAAGTAAAAAGTAAACAAAAACAAAAACTAAAACCCAAACACATTTTTTTAGGTTAGTATCAATAAAAACTATATATTATTATTTAGTATAAAAAGGAAAAAAACATAAATAACAAACATCTATCAGTACAGGGTAGTCGTTGATGGTCAAAATATTATATTGCAAGTTTTCAAAAGAGATCCATACAATGTAAATATACAAAAAGTGAATGCAACACGCTATGTGTGTTATGTGCTATGTTGCAACATTTATTGGTTGTTCAAAAAGTGGACTTTCTCATTTTTTTACGATGACCTTGGATTACAAGATAAGTTCTCTGACCTGCCTAATATTCATAAAGAATTTTATGTACTTCACTTATTTTATATAGACTGATAACCCCCCTCTCTTAATAGAGCCTATCCTCTATTAATATACTGATAAGTCCAAGTTTTCTGATAGTCTTATAGCCCCCTCTCCTAATGGAGTCTATCCTCTCTTAATATACTGATAAGTCCAATCTTTCTGATATACTGATAACCCCCCTCTCTTAATAGAGCCTATCCTCTCTTAATATACTGATAAGTCCAAGTTTTCTAATAGACTGATAGCCCCCCTCTCCTAATGGAGTATATCCTCTCTTAATATACTGATAAGTCCAAAAGTTTTCTGATAGACTGATAGCCCCCCTCTCCTAATGGAGTATATCCTCTCTTAATATACTGATAAGTCCAAAAGTTTTCTGATGTACTGATAACCCCCCTCTCCTAATAGAGCCTATCCTCTCTTAATATACTGATAAGTCCAAGTTTTCTGATGTACTGATAACCCCCCTCTCCTAATAGAGCCAATCCTCTCTTAATGGACTGATAAGTCCAATTTTGTTGATAGGCTGATAACCCCCCCCCCTGCTCTCCTAATAGAGCCTATCCTCTCTTAATGTACTAATAATTCAAAGTTTTCTGATAGACTGATAACCCCCCTCTCCTAATAGAGCCTATCCTCTCTTAATTTACTGTTTAACCACAGTTATTTGATATACTGATCAACCTCTATTTTCTGATGCATTGATCACCCAATGTACTGATAGATGTATGTACCAACTCCCCCAGCCCAGCAAACGCCTTGCCTACCTGCTAGTCTGTTGTGGTCGCCCTGTGTGAGACTTCGCCGCGCTGCCTGTAGCGCCGGACTGCCCCCGCCTAGTAATAGCTGAGGTAACAACTGCTCGGACAGCGCAACCCCGTCAAGCCCCGTCTCCCCGTTGGGCAGCGAAGGGTTGGTGTAGTCCCTGGACTTGTCGTTGTTGTACTTAACGTTGAGACTGGACAGTTTGGAGTATTCGATGCGCAGTGTACAACATGAGTTGTAGATGTTCTGACCGTCCAGAGACTGTAAACAATAAGTGATTTTTTTAAATACACAAAATAGAGAAAGAAAAATAAATGGACCATGTGACTCTATTCTGTGACTTTGGCCGGAGTGTAGAATCACCGATGCAGTTCTTAATGACTACGAGGGAGCATGGCTTTGTTTATGCATCAGATTGATCATGAAATGGTTTATTAAACAACCAACAACGTTCATGGCGAGATCATGCACCTCTGGTATTATTAGGACCATCTCCTTTCTCACAATAGTTTACAACTTTTCATGGTGTTATAAGTTAACAATTATTTATCAAAACAAAATTTGGCGATATGGTATATTCAAGACAATTTTTAGTACTGCCACAAATGACAAATAAAAGTCACTATATCATATTGACAATAACTTAACAAATTTTTCAATTAATTGTGGATTCTATAAAATAGTTGAATTTTCCATTTAAACAAATTTTGTTACAGTTAAAATTTCATCTAATGAATTATGTACATTAGCGACATCTCTTCATTTTTGTGAATGAAACAATTTTTCTTACTGTTAAAATTATCAAGGAAGATTATCAGGTAACTTGTTTTAAGACAACAATTGAGACAACTAATCATGAATTTATCAATAAATCTAATAATTAACAGCTATAAGAACTCTACTGGGAAATACAGAATAGAAAAGCTCGAAATATTAATAAGGATCTCGTACTTTGAAAGAGACACAATTGAAAACTGTGACGACAATGGGAACAGATGGAGAGGGGAGGGGATGGAAAGAAGGAGAAATGTCTTATTTACATAGAGCCCGAGCAGAGAATCTTCAAGAGGATGCAAATCGTACAAATCCTGTACATAATACAGCAACCCACACAATACAAAGGGGCTGCGAATATAACTTGTAAACACGCCAGGTCAAGCACAGGAAAGGTAAAATTAACAACAAATTAATAAATGAGACAGTAAATGGTAGAGTAATGAGATATGTTTTCTAACAATATGCGACCTAAGCCTTCTTACATCTGCTGCGGGGTTATTATTTTTTCAAATTTTAATCATTTTACGGAGCCGAGTATGTAACGAGGTTCACGAAACCTTTCCCAAACACGGCTTTGAGATATAATCATAAAGAACGTGGCTATTGTTATTATTTAATGCACGGAAATTGTGAGGAAATGAAGGAGGGAGCAGTGGGAGGTAGCGTTCTATTTTTAATGTACTCTTAAAGCGAGATAAAATTAAGAGAAATGAAGACTCACTGGGCAATGTCTTCTTCATTACAGAAAGATATTTTACCTCTCGACTTAGCTTTGGTTGTGTTTATCTCAGAATGTAAATTGTTTTCGTATTTCGTTTTAAATTTGCAAATATTTGTAAATGGAAATGGAGGTAAAATTTCTTTAATGAGTTGCAATATTTGTCCTCAAAATATAACTCTTCAGCTTGTACGGGGTTTTTGAGTCACCAAACAATTGTTTAAATAATAACAATTATTTACAATTTTACAATTTTTTTTATTAATCTTTTTAATTTTTCAAAAAGCTATTGAGTCAGAATTATGTCAAGTTACTAAAATACACCTACACATTTTAAACTCTTGTTCATACATTAAAATCTACTAAATAAGATTTATGAATATAATTATGGAAAAGATTTTTACCCTTACAGGAGAAGATCTGGGGAACATTTAATCACTTTATTTGGAAAGATTATACTCTTATATTGTCATAACATTTCAAATTAAAGTTTTATTGTTTTACGTTTGTTACACAGTTTCATTGTTTCCAATGAAAAAGGTTATTAAACACCACAAACTACCCTAAAACTTATACTCAATGTAAACTAAAATTTATCAACATCATTATTAAAATTCAAAATTAACCCTGACTGCGAAGAGAGAATTAATCTGAAGTAAAATTTAAAGATAAAGACAAATTTACAGACGAATGAGCAATATGATTGAATGTACTACTTCAAAAGTTCCCAGTGATCATTCCGTACATTCTCCAAATAAAATATAGCCCTCTATCGCAGCCCGAGCATCTGAATCCTTATTTTCTCCCCTCCCTATTTCGGTTATCATTCATCTCTTATAAAGAAAGCTTCCGAAACAAACCTCAAGCTTTTCAGATTCAATTCTTTTATGAAGTATCGATTTATGGATGTAAATTTAACAGAAAAACAATTAGAGGGATGATGAATTGTTGGAGCCGCTGCAAGGATTATGGGATATTGGAGATTACTTTGGTTCGGAACAGTTACAGTTGACGTAACTTACTAGTTTAGCTGACTGAGCTGTGACAACATCTGGGTACTGGATAAGCACTTGGAACGAATCTGTAACACAAGTAATGTATATAATACAATAAAACTAACTGTAGTGGCACAAAAATAAATGACTAACTTAAAAAAAATGACTAAATTAAATAAATAACTGTACCTGCAGTACTAAAAACGGGATACAACAGTTAGATAATAAAAGTAAGTGGATATTTAGAAGCGTGCCACTTCACTAACATGGTCTTCAGGTCTAACATCTTGGTCTAACTGACGATGAACATCCTAGGAGTAGGAAAGAGAAATTGTACTGCTATCATTGAATGATATTACTGTGATTTTGGTTTTTTCTACTCATCACAAGGTGTCAGTGATGTGAAGAAAGTATATGGATATTGTTTTTTAAGTGATACAGTTAATTTATTGTTGTGCTAATTCTAGGTTGGGGTGCTAACTTTAACGCAGATATTCTTGACTATTTTGTAATGCATAGAAAATAAGTTGTTAATATGAACCCAGAGCAGAAAATAAATAGTTTGATTTTGAATTTCAAAGAGTTTTGAATTATGAAAAGCTATTAAAAGGAAAAATTAAAAAAAATACTTTGAATGTATAAAAAAAATCAAATTACACGAATAACAAGAAAGGGAAATTCATAATTTTACTCTGAACAAGAAGTAAATTAAAAATGCCAAAGTGGTTCTATAAAATAAATTTGTATAACCTAACCTAACCTAACAAATATTTTTTTACAAACTTAGTGGCAGTAATTAGCTAACAATAAACTAAAATCAAAATTGGTTCAATTTTTTATCACATTCTCTTCCACATAAACACCTTAGATTAATATTTAAAATCAACTAGGCTATACAAAAAATTTATGAAACCAACAAAAATTATACTTACTGTTTTTGGTGAAGGTTACGATTTTCAAAACTTTTCCAAACCGAGAGAAAATCTGGAACAAACAGTTGCATTAATAATCCTGAATACTATCTACGAAATGATTTACTTTATGTGTTGGTGCTGTTCATAGATGTAGGTATTATATTACCTTAAATTAAAATTATAGCTTATTTTATCCTATACCTATATTTTCTAAGGAGGAAAAAGTAAAACTTGTGAACATTCAAACATTTTAGAAACTTTGAGTAACTAAATTTTAATAACAGCAAGATGTTCAAAGTTAATGAACACCTGTTGTCCTTAACAGATTAATTAGCTTAAACAAAGTTTGGCGCTTGAAAAATATCAGAAAGTAAACTGTTACTCAGTAAAAAGTGAAAAGAGCACTTATTGAAATTAAGTTTTACTCAGGATTAATCTGAACAAAGTGAACATGAAAGAAGGGGTGAGAATAAAGGGGAAGGGGAAAGTTAGGTAAACAGGCTACAAACTTTCTGAGGCAACATGTTGTACATTTGCTGGTATGTTCCCTATTCACATCGTGTAATTACTCATTTTATTAGGGAGCAATTCATATGTTAATTTAATTATTTCAACAGAGTAATTTACATGAGAAATTACAGCCAATTCGGTCAGAAGTGTAGGTGTAAAACGGTTTTGCAGTGAATTAGTTTAACTCTAGGACATAAATTTGTATCACATTTTCACTACTGTGGTAGGTTTATGTTGTAGGTGTTATACTGTATTGCTGATTAAATCTAGTACAGCAAATTGGTTTAGAGCAGGAGGGTAAAACCTATAATTTAATTAAGATTGTGTGTGTGACCAATATAATTTTGACCTTTAATATGAACTTGAGAATATTATTGGGAACTTATTTTAGAGCATGATATATGTAAATATGAATTAAACTGATAATTTAAAATTTTTAATATGTGTCAATTGCAGATCTATGTCATAAAGAGGGATCTGGCTTCCTCATACAGGCAACAATTTATAAAAAAAATGTCTTTTTAAGATTCACTACAAACGGTTTGGTCTTTTGTTTACAATCTGACTGTAGTTTAAAATAAAATGAAGTTAATTTAGCTGTTAAATTACAATACACGTTTAAAATCAATAGAAGCAAATTGGGCAGCAGTCATGGACCTTTCCTTTATTATCATTATTGTTCTTCCCTTTGCTAGATCGTAAGCATTAAAAAGACACCAATAATAAAAATCTTAAAAAGGACAGACGAAAAAAGGATATTACAGAGAAATCTGTTATTGTATAAAGTGAACTATTCATAAGACATACTTTCACAATGGAGATGGACCCTAAACAATAATGCAACTATAGTGTATTTTTGTTAAGTAATTAATTCTTACATAAATTAATCAACTTATAACAATGCAAAATATACAACTAAACCCAATAGAATTAGTCACAAAACCCGTGATAGGCAGACAATTTTTCACAAACTTAACAGAAACAATAACTCAAAACGTGCCAATTAAGACAATACAAAATACGTAAACAGTTTTAGGGAAAGTAAAGCAAGCAAAGGTCGAAAGAAAACACTCGAGACAGTGGAATCCGTTGTTTTAGGGTCACAACAGGGATAAACCCACACTCTGAAGGGATGAAGAACGTTTTAGGAGGAAATTTCCCCCGAGGTTTAAGAAATAAGATGACTGGCCCGGTCACCGTATTGACAGATTTATAAGGTAAGCGGTTGAATCGAATCACCCATTGACTAATCATATGTCCTTTCAAAACATATTGACTAGAGACTTATGGCACAGTTCAATGTGCTTTGGTGGGTGGTTTGAGTAGCTAACACCTTTGGTATTGATTTGTAAGTTTGTTGTGGGAGTTATATGCTCAATTCGCCAGGTTTAGGCATACTCTTTGCTTTGTACTTGGTGAAGATTTATTGTGACAAATAACAGTGACATGTTAGGCTGTTACAAAAGGAAAATATATTTCGAACACTATCCTGAACAAGTTTGGACTCCTACGAAACCTTCAATTTGCCTCTCTACCTAACCGAGTAATTCAAAGAATAACCTATTCTAAAGATAAATTTGAAAATGCCTGTCACTCTGAAAATGTATAAATTAGTCGTGTGTCTCAGATTTAAAATTTGAGAATTTAAATAGTTGTTTTCTTGAGCAAGCAGTTAAATCTTATCACATACCTTTTATGTGATATAATACTGTAAATTGCTTAATCCACCAGGTAAGTAAATCCATGTTCAATACATTTATCGTGTACCTGTCTTCCCCCCCTCCCACCCCTCAGCACTCCTTGTTCATTACACTAATTAATCCCACCATTTTGAACACTTTATCGATCGGATTCAACATGTTTAATGACTTGGGTCAATCGACATTGTGTATTTGCCGAACAATATTAATGTAGGACTTGATTGCTTTGCATTAAAATTAAAAGTAAACAGTTTGAGTGAATTTGATTGAAAGTGGACGATCGATGGATCAACCTGTGCGAGTTCACCTGTATCAACAGTTAACTTGCCAGTGTGATTCATTTTTCCTCGTCTATAGTTTTTAGAAAAACAAGGCAAAGGTAGTTTTTGAAGGAATTGCATGATTACAGTTGTCAGGATATTCTTTTTTAGTAAAAAATCTAGATTTTGTCCTGAACAATGAGTGGTGAATGATCATTTCTGATCAAATTAGATCTGAATAGGGTTTTGATGTTCCTTACAAATATTATAAAAAATTCACAAGTGTTGGTGGAGATTAAAATAAAGTAAAACATCCTTAATCTACTTTGTATTACGTAATGCATTACATCTGAACCTGTTTCCAAAATAAAGCACGTGCAGGTTGTATTGGAAAGGAATTTAGTGTTTATTCAAGTGTAGGCCTATTTTAAATGGTAGGTAATTAAATGAAGTGCTAGGCAAAAAATTTTTTAAAGTTCCCTAATTATTTTCTCTTTTAAATCTATGAAACTTAATCATAAAATGTTTTAATAAATAATTAATATTGAAAGATATATTAAAAAAAATAAACATTGGAATACAAAGGCATCAAAAGACTTTGTAATAGTTAATTATATTTTAAAAAATAATAAAATTATTTCATAAACTTTTTGAAGTTATTATTTGAACTACTATGAACATTACTGTTTCTGTTAACTCTTCCTGCTCGGTCCACAAATGAACGTACCAGAAAAAATAGCTTTACTCCCATTGTAGATAACAAAAGACAACGGCTTGACAATTCAAATAAGAGCCGGAATTTTACAAAACGGCAGAAATACTTTTTACGAGGCCACAAGAGGAAGCGAGTAATCCTTTTACCTTCTTCGCTTCGCAGCTTGTCATCTTTTACAAACTTTTTATTTGCTTTTCATTCCCTTTGGCAAGGTAAATATCTGACTCATGTGATTGGCCGTAGGGACGCTCTGCCCTCAGTCAAGACGCTTTAGCTTCCTCAAGATTATTCAATACCAGCTCCAAACAGACTGCATTGAAATCAATCAAGTACATCATAATATCAATCTGAATCAGCGAGGACAAAACATGATAATTTGTGATAAAAAATAATTAAAAAAAGGTTTAACGATTTTTTATAAGTAGGTGTAAGGAATCAGTTCGATTTGAGAGTTGTGTTAGAAATGGTAAAAAATGATTGAACAGTATGCATTATTGTAACAAACTGGACTGTACGGTGGTAAACTTTAGAACGATTTTGTCAGGGATATTAAAATGGCCAACATTGCAAGCACGACTTTATTATTTTTGAAATAGAGTCCTAGTTACTCCTTAGCATATTTGAAGCTCATAAAAAGTAAGTAGAACAAATTGAAGGATTTATTATTATTTTTATTACTGAAATGCAGACACATACGTAGGTGCGTATTTTAAGCTCAATATGAGCAAGGTGATTGTGGAATTGAACGAGATGATCTATGTAGCAATGTTGTCACCAGCTGGGTCCAGTTTCGAACCATTAAAAAACTAATGAATTTTCTCAGGATCAAACCGGCAATCTTTTGATTGTTAGATGAGCACTATAACCACTCAGCTATCTAGCAAGTAAAGGATGTGACTAATACACAAAATAAATCGCACTTGTACCCATTGAAAAAATCCTTTTTAACTTTCTGTAAACTTGAAAAATGTCACATCTTAGCTTGTAGAACCATAATTAGGATTATATCAAAATAAATTAAACCAGAAAAAACTTTACCCCGATTATAGAAATCCTCTAAAAACAGAATACCTCCAAAGAGTAAATTTACAAACCCCAGATGAACAAGGGAGATTAATCTCTGGGCCAATGTTGTGATCAAATTTCCCTCTTAATCCCCCGTCCCTGATGAGCGCCAGCCAAAAGGTAATGGATTGCGTTGAGTGAAGACTTACAAACAAACTCCGACTCAACAATTCATCTCGTCTAATTTGGCGACAAGTGACGTTTAAATGTTATCAAATGTGACTACGAGTGAACATCCTTGTATTGTATTGTGTCTGTCTATCTCTTACACACACTTTCTATACAACAGGATAACAGGATACTGCTAAATAGGGAATTATCCCAGTTATCAGGGAAGTGAACCTGTGTGAGTTTGGGGAGTGAAAGTTGTGTTGATGTTGTAAGGAACTAACACTGGAGGTGAGTTTATAAAATTATTATAAAATTGACAGATGTATATATTGATGTTTGTAGTACTTAGAATTATTGGCAAGGTTTCCATTTTGAAGAGCTCAATTGTAACAATCTTGTTTCGTCAAAATAATTGCCTTATGAAAACTTGTACAGCACCCATCATGTAATTGTTTATCACAAACTGCATAGTAAATACAAATTAATTTTACACATGCAATTCAAACTTACGTCCTCGTAATTGCTAAAGTTTCTAAAAACGGACTGCAACCGTATAACACTTACAATTTTTTTTGCATTTAATAATCGAAAATACTATTTGCTGTTGACAATTCCATAAAAATACAACTAGATTAAAACCGTTGAGAAATCCACGAAGTGTTGGTAACAAATGCATAATATTGAACATTTTCCAGAAAAGGCTTCACAA